GCCTCCGTCCATTCGGTCGTCCCTGGTCGGGCCTGTCCTCCTGTTTGGTCCTGTCTCCAGTCTGTCTGACTGGGTATATGCTCAGGAATGGCGTTGTCCGTTTGGGGGCATGACATTTCTGGCGGTGCAGGAACCGAATTCAACATGAATTTTGATTGCTCCATCAAGTTTTGCATTGCGTCATGTATTGCCTGCAGATTTGCTATCTGCTGGTCGTACATTTGCCGAAAAACTGCTGTAAAACCTGCTGTCAATTCGGCCCGTAGTTGGGAAGCTTCTTCTGCCGTGATAAAGCCAACGGCTGTACTGTGGAATTGAAAATTTGCCATATGGATCAGCAATTTTCTCCCACTGTGGTCGCCAATTTGTTGATGTAATTTTTCAACAAAAATAAAGTAAAATTCAAAGATATAGAAAATATCCTTAAACTTGATTAATTAGTGCCTGAGATTAGGAATCTCTAAACACTGTATGGTACAGAAAATAAACTGGAAAATAAAAGACTGAAATTTAAAGTGGTGATCCCCAAATCTGACTTTGCTTTGTTGAAGTTGATTGAAGATGCCTTGCCAAATGATGATCCAAATCCTTAAATATTCTTTGAAGAAAACGTTCAGAACCGTCGCACTGTTTCACCAACCGTTCCCACCAGTTACAGAACTCAGAACTGCCTCTTTCATTGACACATGTCTTTAACCGCCTCGCCAACCGCATAACCCAACGACCGACCAACCGACCAATCTAGATACATAATTGGTCGCCAGATCAAAAGACTCACTGGTCGCCCCATCAAACGACCACTATTTGGTCTCTTCAATCGTCTGACCTATCAACAGACCTTTCTTCGCCCGACTTCCTTTTTCGACCGACCCCCATAGCAGCCAACCTTTGTATCAACCGACCCATTTATTCGACTGCGGATAATCCGACCTGCTTGCCCGACCGCGGACCATCTGACTTGCTTATCTGATTGAGAACCAACCGACTGAGAACCCACCGACTGACTCTGGATACCTTATTATTATTATTATTATTATTATTATTATTATTATTATTATTATTATTATTATTATTATTATTATTATTATTTTTTGTGCGTAACAACTCTATTCAACAGTATATTTTAAATCTATACTTTATGAAAACAACAGAATTAGTTTGTATTTCAAATAAAAATTACCATTATTCAGTTTACCTGATTTTTAATAAAAATATACTCCCTCCGTCCAGCTAGAAAGTATACATGTTTCTATTTTGGGACGTCCAATTACAAAGTAACAATTTCATTAAATACTTCATTTTTTCCACAAATACCCTTACTTTACATCACATCATTACTTTTATACCCAAAAAAGTAAGGACAAAAATATCATTTTACTACTTTTACCTACCCACTATAATTAAAATACTATTATTCCTTAATCTCCGCGCCAAAAGTAAATGTATACTTATTTCGTGGACGGAGGGAATATAATTTTTTCTTATAAAATGTTATATCAAAATACTATTTAAACGAACTTCTATAAAAACCCAAATTTCAAATCAAAACCAAACAAACCTAGGACAATTCACATTCATTCTCTTTTAGATACATTATTTTGATATTATTTTAACTATTTTTCTCCTATTTTTTGTTTATATTATATTAGTAAAAGACTTTACGCAATAAATAAAAATTAATATTTTTTTAAAGATATTTCAAATTTTAAAATAATAATATAAGAATTTAAACATAAATTATACTCCTTCTGTCCCAGATATCGTGTCTGGTATACTGTAGATACAGTATTTTAGGAGGGGTGTAATTAGTAGATAATTAAGAATGTATTAGTGAAAATAATTATCCTATAATGTAAATAATTATAAATTAAGATTAAGATAACTAATTAGTTTAATTAAAATAAAAAAATCTAAAATGAGATAAAGTGTGTAATCATTTTCCAAAAAAAGAAAGTGACATGGTATGTGGGACGGACAGAAATGACAATATGAACATGATATCTTGGACGAAGGGAGTATTAGTTTAATAATATTATTAACATTTTTAATAATATCCACTTGTTAGGGTAGGATAACTAAACACATATGATTGTCACATAAAGTTTGTATTGAAATTAAAATTATGTTTTTATTTTTTTATTTTTTTATTATTATAGACTCATTATAATTTTATTTTATAAAATATATTATTTTATTTCGTAAATATCACATACAGATTATTATTCATAGAAAATAAAGTAATAAAATTTATTTAGCGTATTATATAAATTGAGTCAAGTCAGCTAATTTCCATGAAGCTTTGAAGTATGACTTATAATACGTGGGGTCTGCTTTTGTGTATTTTTTCCACAATTTGATAACTTTTTTATATTGCTAACGATTATTTAAAAATACTAATTAATATTTTGGATTTGATTTTATGTTTTAATCATAGTAATTTGAAAGATAAATTATATAACACCCCATTAATTTTAGTAAAAATGCATAAAATATTGTGTGTTTTATTTATTGCGTAAAATCTTGTGTTAGTATAAAGTTTGCACGAAATACCATCGCTGACTAAAACTGATAATTTAGTTCTAAATAAAGACTTAAATAAAAAACATAAAATATCTTAAATAATCTTTCTGAATAAATTAATCATTTATTTTATAGTTTTTTAATGATTAATCAATTATTTATTTATTTAATTCAAAAAATTATTTAAGATATTTTACATTTTTTTATTTGTATAAAACTTGTGTAATTTAGATATTTATTTAGCACCAAATATCAAATTTGGTCGAGAAGAGTATTTCGTGCAAACTTTACATTAACAGAATGAGAGTTTCACGCAATAAAAGACATATTTGAATAAAAAATTATGATAATTATATAATTAAAAAAAAAAACCTACTTAGAAGAACATTAGAAATAAAAGACACTGTATATAAAATTTTTAAATTTAAATAATTGTATGTTATAAATATGTATTGATGTGATGTTTTGAATATAAAATTAATTTTTAATATAATATAAAAAATAAAAATAAATATTTAATTTCATTTTTTTTTAAAAAAAAAAACTTGATAAAGATAAAAATTTGATAAAATTTAATAAAAGAACACATATAAAATAATAAAATAATATACTTTGTATAGTGAAAAAAAAAAAAAAACATAAAAACAATGGTCATGTTTGAGCGGTCCGTGACTTTTACCAAAGTCAAATGATCTTTTCATCCCACTAAAAGTACCAATTTGATTATTTTTATATGTTTCATTAAAAAATATTTAGTTTAATTATAGTAAAAATAAGTATGCAATTAAAATATTTTTTAATTTTTATATATATTACAAATATATTATTATATATACAATTAATTTGTACATAGGATACAAATAACAATTAGCAAAATTATATATATTTTTTACTAACTAATAAAATATTATTATTTTTTAATTTAATATAAAATTCCAAACGATCACTTGAATTGTACCGAAAAAATTTATGTACAGTAACAATATATAAATTAATATTTTATTTTAGGATATAACAAAAATATCGTATATTATTTTGATAATTTAATATTTGATATAAAAATATATACCGAATTTTCAATATAATATCATATAATATTATACAATATAAAAAATTCCAATAGTGAAAACTATATGCAGTATAAAGTTCAATATAATGTAAGAACAACCCTTATATATATTATGAATTTTTTATTTTATTTTCTTCAAAACGACATCTAAAAATCCGTTGAAAAGATAACACAAACCACCACCCTTACATCCTACGAGAAATAATACTCCATTCGTCCACCTATTAGATTCATATTGTCATTTTTGTTCGTCTCATATCTCATGCCACTTTTATTTTTTTTAAATGATTATACACTTTAATCTCATTTTAAATTTTTATTTTATAATTTTAATTAGACTAATTATTTATCTTAATTTTTGTTGAAAGTGGATTGTATTTGTTTTTGGGTTTTGATTAATGTTGTTTGCAGATGATCCGAACAACAGACGAACAATGATGGACAAACCAATTTGTCTTGAGCCTAATCAAACAAGAAAATGACCCCAATTGATCAATCCAATTATGACCCAAACGAATGGATCGAGAAAGTTCGTTGGTCCCCCAATCCATGTGTGAGAAATAACAAATATTTATTGTAACAAACTTTGTTGAGGTAGGGAGAGATAGTAAAAAAATAGATTTTATTCTTGTTGAATTTGTTAGAGTGAATATTCTTATATTTGGATATAGAACTTCTACATAAGAATATAGAGTTGAGAAAAAATAGATTAGGGGAGATATAAAAAGAATTGAGGGTGATTGGTGTGTGGGATAGGTTGAGAACGGAAAATCGTCAAGAAATAGGTAGATAGATTTCTTAAGTGTGTAGCTCAATTGTATTCACACATCTTGTACTTCAATGTTTTCAATAGTAAGTTTTGTCGGGGTTGGAACCCCCCACATGTAGGCTGGTGCAGTCGAACTGGGTTATCATTTTGTTGTGTTTCTAATGTTCTTCGTCATCAGAATGTTCATTCGCAGTTCGATCGTCCAACGAACGACCAATCTGTGATGAGAGATTTTTCTGTGTTGATTTTTTAAGTTTGTTGTTGTTATGCGTATTCTTGGTCTTGAGATATTGCTGTTGTTTGGTTTTGAGCGAATTTAGGGCCAACAATTTTAATTTATAATTATTTATATTATAAGATAATTATTTTCACTAATATCCTATTAATTATTTACTAATTATACTTATTCTAAATTCTCATGTCTACTATAATCCGGACACGCTATATGAGGCAGATAGAATAATAACATCGCGTGTTTTTTGTTTATATATAAATCTTGCATTCTTATCTATCATATGTAAATCAATGTAGCATAATATTAGTATGTAAATTGAATAATGTTAAGAACCTAAACATATTAAACTCTGTGAGTGTAATAATATATATATATATATATGCATTATGTAATATTACAATTTTATATCGATAAACATAAAATACTTTAAAGTATTCATTTTCTCTTTTGCAGAATCTTCTTTCCTATATACCTGCATCATTACAGAGTAATTAACAAAAGTTAGTCGAATATACACATATTTAGAAATATTATACTTTCTTCGTTTTAAGTAATTATGTTTCATTTGTTTTGTTTGATTGGCAGATAATTTAGAGTAAATAATTTTATCTATCTATAAATTTATTATTCTTATTTTAATAAATAATCATTTATTTATCATTAGTTTTTTTTATCTACTCTATTATTTTATTATTAACTCTTCAATAAATTTCTATAATACTCACTATAGCTTTTGTTTATCCTACTTTCATCTTAACATATTATTATTTCTTAATTTACATGCCCGAATATTACGATATAATTATTTCTTAATTTACATGTCCGAATATTACGATATAAATAATCCGAACGGGGGAGTAGTAAACAAGTTATAAGTATAATATGATTGTTATATAATCCCATACAATAAACATAGGTTTATTTACTTTGGATATTTGTATTTGTTTTGTATTTTGATTTCTCGTTTAAATATTAGAGAAATATAATATTTTGTAAGAGGATATAATATATTTTGTGACAAATATATTTTTAATTTCGTATGTGATTCTTATTATTATTTTAGTCATTTAACACAAGTTTGTGTATAATTAAACAATTTTATATCTAATTCATAGTATTGAAATATTGTCATATATGCTGCCATGCATGACATAGCCAGAGCTCACATAAGATAGTATGGTAATAATTTTAATACTAAATATTGTTTTGTATTTGATGTTTAGCACCCAAATTTTGTATATATATATATATATTTAGTGCTAAAAAATGTCAAAAATAATAAGAAATATCTTATATGATACTAAAAATATTTATCTTGTATCGGAAGACTTTATAATAATAAAAGGAAAAATTTGAAAATTCAAATGAATAGAATCATAGTAAATGTAGTATTTCCCCGTTCCACTTTTATCATCTATTATTTCTATTTTTATACGTTCCTCCACCTTATTTGTCTTTTTTTTTTTTAAATATAATTATACACTTCAATCACATTTTAAATTTCATATTTTATAATTTTTTTTAATCTTAATTATACTCCACTATTTAATTATCTCAATTTTAATTTATAATTAGTTTTATTATACAATAAATATTTTTACTAATACACTATTTAATTACTTACTAATTATAATTTATCTAAATTCTTGTATTTACAGTAAATCAGATACAGAAAAATGGGCAGAGAAAGTAATTTAGTTACCTTCCAAGCATCATGAGAGTATCTTGAGGATTGGCTCCGGGGGATCGACTTAAGGTGGATCCATCGACAACGCGAAGGGCATCAACGCCAATCACTTTATAATCGCGGTCGACCACTGAGCCCACGTGGCAACCGCCGTGGTAATGCCATATGGTCACGACAGTGTCGATGCAGAATTGCTCGAAGGAGGAAGCTGATGTCATATGTCTCGTCCGTAGATTATTGGGAGTTGTGAGCATTAGTTCGACAAGGCTTGTGAATGAGGTGTTGGGATATAAAAAACCCGAGATGGGCTTTGATTCCACGACATCTTTTATGATTTTCATGCCCTCGACACACCTCTTTAGGTCTCGAGGATCTTGGAAGTAGTTGAATGTTACTCTTGGATTGTCGTCGGGATTATTGCTTTGAAGCTGAAGATGCCCTGTTGAGAATGGTCCGATTACTTTCTCGAAAATGGCTCCGGCTTGGATGTAGGGATCCTTTAGAAATGACTCGTTTCTTGGATTTTTGAAAGGCCGAAATGTCTACATATTTAGAAAATTAGCAATACTTCAAGTGTTCATCGAACATTCTTTCCATAAGTAATTTAAAATAATTTTTGAATTAAGTAAAACATCAAAGAGAAGGTTTTGAGAATAAATAATACATGTTTGCATCTAGAGATCAAGTTTACTATACCAAAATAGCTTGTATCCATGTTAATAATTATCTAATGAATGTAAATTAAATCTTGAATGTAATATACTATTGGAAAAATGACATAAAATAGCACGAAATTATCTATTGTTTAAATATTACGTCAAACTCTATTATAGTTTAAAAAATCTTGCATTTAACTCAAGATTTCGTAGTTATGAAATTGCTGCGTCTAGAACAGTCACCACTAACTAAAGATAAAATATGTGGGTTAAATGCAGAGTTTTTTAAACAATATGCAATTTTTAAACAACAAGAAAGTTCTTGTAATTTTCACAAACTACGGACGGATTTTATATTATTTTTTCCTATAATATATATATATATATATCGAGAGAGAGAGGATATGTTTATCATAAAGCTGTTAAACAAACAAATAGTTCGCGAGTTCAGCTCGTTTGAACTTGTTAAGAGTTCGTACGTTAAGCTAAACAAGTCGAACACGAATATAAATTTTGGCTCGTTATGTTCATGAACGAGCTCGAGCTTGTTCGCAAACGTTCGATAATATTTATTAAAAATATTAAATTAATATTTTATATTCAATAAGTATATATATATATATATCTTTATAAATAGTACTCCATCCGTCCCACTGCAAGGTTGTCATTTGGTTTTTGCGCAATTGTATTTGACATTAAAAATATCTTTATATTTGAATAATAAGGGTCTGATAAACATATTTTGTCTTTTTTTTTCTTGATTTGGACTACGTCTTGATATAATAATTAATATTCAAAGATCAACATACAAAAAATCAATGACAATCTTGCAGCGGGATGGAGGGAGTATTCTATTTAAATTTATTAATAAAAAACATAATTATTATTAATTGAATTGAATTTTCTTAAAAAATTAAATAAAATTCCTTTTAAAGAATCGAGCCGTGCCGAACACGAATAAAAAATTGCTAAACAAACCGAGTTCAAACAAAAATTTCAGTTCATATATTTCAACGAACGAACACAAGTTAAGCTCGAATCCTTAACAAATCGAACTCAAATATGACAAACTCGACTTAATTCGGCTCGTCTGTAGACTTTATAATAGAGGATCCAGTGGAATTATTGAATTTCATACTAATTAATGCAAGAAAATTGACTAATCCCCAACTATATATCTCTAGACTTCTTCACATAGAGGATCCAGTGGAATTATTGAATGTGTAATACTAATTAATACATGAAAATTGATTAATCCCCAACTATCCAATATTTTAGGCATATCCATAAAGGATACCAAATTTAGGCAGTTTTTATTTTTATTTTTTCAAATATTAAAATAATATAAAATAATATTTTTTTTAAAAAAAATAAAAGAATTCAAATAATAAATTTTGAATTAAACTTAAGAAGTTAAAAACATGAGGGGCGGAAATTGATATGTGTAGAGGTTGAGGATCTAATCTTGAAAAATATTTCATCCGTCGTTAAATTGTGTTTTCATTTGATCAGACACAATTTTTAAGAAAAATAGATAAAAATAAAAACTTTTATTTTATAGGGTAAAGAAAAAGTGATACTTCATCCGTCCGCCTATAAGGGTCACATTTACATTTTGCATCATTGTATTTAACATTAAAAATACCGTTATATTACTCAGTTCGCACTTTCGGGTAGCGACTGCGGGTTTCCACGTTATAAAAAAAAATAAATTCCATTATATTTGTATAATTTTTTATACAAATGTCTTTCTATTAATATTATAAAATACTAATTGAAGTATTTTTGCAATTTTTTCTTAATTTGTACTATATTTTGATATAATAATTAGGAAAAAAATCAATTTTGGTCCCGATATAATCAAAATTAATCAATTTTGGTCCCAATATAAAAAATTCATCAATTTTAGTCACAATATAACCAAAATTTATCAATTTTGGTCCCAATATAAAAAAACTCATCAATTTTGGTCCCAATATAAACAATTTCAATCAATTTTGGTCCAAATATAAACAATTTCAATCAATTTTGGTCTCATTATAAACAATTTTTATCAATTTTGGTCTCATTATAAACATTTTTTTATCAATTTTGGTCCCACCGTTAAAAAACTAACGGAAATTGCTGACGTGAACATGACGGAGGTGACGTGGCAGTTGACCTGGAAAGTACACGGTCATGTTGTTACATGGCCATGTATATTTCAATGTATAATGTGTTGTTACAGGGCCATGTATATTTCAGTGTATAATTATACATGACCATGTTGTTACACGGCCATGAACAATTATACACGGCCGTGTATCTTTCCGTTTCGGTCTAAAATTTTAATTTTTTGTTATATTTTTAGTTTTTTTTTTTTTTTAATTTAGAATAGTTGATATAGTTAAAATGGAAAAAAAAAAATAATCATAATATAATTAAAATATATCAATTTTAGTTCAAATATAAGTATTTATCGAGTATGTTCTTTTGGAAGATTTTGTCTAAAATTCTACTATTTAGCAAAAAAATTTCTCTTACAAACATCCAATTAATGTATTGAAATTTTTGCTAAAAAGTATAATTTTAGACAAAATCTTCCAAAAGAACATACTCGATAAATACTTATATTTGAACTAAAATTGATATATTTTAATTATATTATGATTATTTTTTTTTTCCATTTTAACTATATCAACTATTCTAAATTAAAAAAAAAATTAAAAATATAACAAAAAATTAAAATTTTAGACCGAAACAGAAAGATACACGGCCGTGTATAATTGTACATGAACGTGTAACAACATGGTCATGTATAATTATACACTGAAATATACATGGCCGTGTAACAATATGGCCATGTATAATTGTACATGGTCGTGTAACAACATGGCCATGTATATTTATACACTGAAATATACATGGCCATGTAACAACATGGCCGTATATAATTGTACATAGCCGTGTACTTTCCAAGTCAACTGTCATGTCACCTCCGTCATGTCCACGTCAGCAATTTCCGTTAGTTTTTTAACGGTGGGACCAAAATTGATAAAAATTGTTTATAATGGGACCAAAATTGATTGAAATTGTTTATATTGGGACCAAAATTGATTGAAATTGTGTATATTGTGACCAAAATTGATGAGTTTTTTATATTGAGACCAAAATTGATTAATTTTGGTTATATTGGAACCAAAATTGATTTTTTCCCTAATAATTATTATTCAAAGATCAACACGTAAAAAGAAAACGGAAATTAATTTAAATGACAAAATAAAAGTGACAATAAATTTGAACGACAGAATGAGTAACACAAACATGCATAAATTGAAACAACTAACCAGATTTGCTAATTGTTGTCGAAAATCATGATCAAAATTTTGAACCCAAGCCAGCTCCGAGAATCCACTCACGGTTTCGATGAAGCTTCCGACGGCGGTTATGCCCACCGTCTCAATTAGGGAGACATCAACTGGTTTAGCCGATGGAATCACAATTACATTTCTTGGGTTATCGGACATCCCTCCACCCACCATTTTTTGGTCCAAAACGACGTCAATTCCAAAGCCCTTGAGGTGATCGGCCGGGCCAACTCCGCTCAACATCAACAATTGGGGACTTCCTAGTGCACCCGCCGATAAAATAATCTCATTCTTTGTCCCGCTGTTTAAGTACGCCATGTGCTCCATGCCCGCCGAGTCCTTATAAACCACCCCATATGCCCTCGGCCTTTTTCCTGTATTTCGTCATGTTAGATTTTTTTAGTTGTCGCTCAAGATTATTCGGGCAAGATGTGCTCGAATGCTATTTTTGGATAAGGTTCGGTTCTTTTGGAGTTTATTTCAATTTTGCTATTGTGCAATTCTAGTTGCTTCAAACTACTACTAGAAAAAAGAAAGAGCTAAATTCTGAATGAGCATAGGGTTAGAGTTTGTTCTTTTCGATTTTATTTTTAAATTTTGCGATATTTCAATTTCCCTTAAAAAAATAGATATGATATCGAACAACAAATTATCTATAAAACATTTATTCAATAACTATATATTACTTTAAAAATATCAAAACTCATAAAAAAAAAATCCAAAAGAACAAAAATGTAATGAGTTTGTTCTCCCATAATTTCCTAAAAATATATTGTTACAAAAAAGTTAATATATTACATATATTTATTATTTTTATATTATTTACATAATTTCTTATACCACACATTAATATATATATATATATTTCTTCAAATAATTTTTAAAAAACAAGTATTCAATTTCTTTTTTAAAAATTACTGTCTCCGTCCAGTTTGAAAGTATACATATTTCTATTTTGGGATGTCCAATTACAAAGTAACCATTTCATTAAATACCCAATTTTTTCCACAAATACTCCTAATTTACATCACGTCATTTACTTTTATACCAAAAAAGTAAGGGCAAAAATGTCATTTTACTACTTTTACCTGCCCACTATAATTAAAATACTATTATTCTTTAATCTCCGCGCCAAAAGTAATTGTATATTTTTAGCTTGGACGGAGGTAGTATTTTTTAAGACATCATATTCAACATTTATTTTTAATGTAAAATCTAATAACTAGTTTACTTCGAAAGTATCAAACTTCAAAATACAAAAAAAAAAACACACAATAAGACTATTTAAATGAAATTAGTTTAAATTTTTTTAATATAGAATATCACATCCTCTTATAAAAATAATTTTTTTTTTTTTAAAAAAATATTAAATCCAATCTACAATTCAAATTAAAATACCCGACCACAACAAAAATCAAACAAACAAATCCATAAAAGAACACCAAAAATTCTCGATTTTTGACAATCACCTGGCGACGTATGAAACAATATTTTCTGCACAGTCGAATGAAGATATACAGCAATCTTCGCCGGATCGGCGTACTCCAGAAGATCGGCGGCAGTGTGTCGATGCCCATTCCCATCAAATAAAGATCCGGAGATCTTCGTCCCCAGCAGATGCTCAAACGTGAATCCTCTGTCAGGCAACACGCCCGTGTTGAGCAACCCATCCCGCACGGCCGCCTGCCAAGGCGTCACACGTGGCCGGAAAGCCACTTTCGCCTCCGCCCACTCGTACGACTCCTTAACCAGCCGCGGGTCCCACCCGGCGCGCCGCACGTACTCGGCGCCGGCGCGTGTCACAAAGCCGCCGTTGACGGCGGAGCCGCCGCCCAGAACGCGGGCGCGGTGGTTGAAGACGCCGTCGGTAGAGATGAACATTTGCATCGGAGAGTTTGGGGATGTGTCCATTAGCAGTAAGGGAAAACCCGATTTGTTGGTAATGTTGGGATTGTTGTACGGCAGGCCGCCCCGCTCGAGGAGGAGGACGTCGCCGGCGGCGGCGAGCGTGGCGGCGAGTGCGCAGCCGGCGGTTCCGCCGCCGATGACTATGTAGTCGTGACTGGTTGCCGGAGGTGCTGACGTAGCTTCTTTGGTAAAAGTATATGGAGCTGATTATCGATTAAACGATAAATGTCAGTGTAAATTCAAATTGATGAACAATTTTGGACTAAATTGTAAAATTGTAAATATATATATATATATGTGTGTGTGTGCATATCGTTTTAGAGTGAGATAAAGATACCTTTCTCAGCAAAACAGAAACCATTAATGACGAAGATGATGCCTACAGAAGCAGCTAAAGCTGCAATGAGAAATCGACTTCCAAAATCCATATCATCTACAAACTATACTCTCTCTCTCTCTCTCTCTCTCTCTATACATATATATATATATGTGTGTGTGTGTGTGAAGTTAGTTCAGAATAGTAATGGAAGTTAGGTAATTTGGTATTGTAGATTAGTTCACTAAATTTGCTATTTAAATGAACACGAAAACCCAATGTAAAAGAGATGTGAATGCTACGATTTAGAAATACTTAAAAGGGTGTGTTTGTTTGGGGTTTTGGATTTTGACTTGGGATTTGAATAGTAAAAATTTTGAATTTGAATAGTTGTATGATGTTATATAAATAAGTGTTCATGTGATATTTTAAATGTAAAATTGATTTTTAGTATAATATAAAAAATAAAAAATAGATGTTTGATTTGATATTTTTGGGGAAAAAAATGGAATGAATAGTGTATTTAAAATCAAATCCTCAAGACAAACACTAGTAAGAATGATGCTGATTTGACGTGATCAGTATATTTTATAAGAGTGATTTGTATATGTTTATATATATCTTAGCATATATGTTTTGTTATAAGATAAGATATGTTGAGTTATAATATTATATATATATATATTATATTATAAATATATTGAGGTATATATAAAATATTGTTGATTATCTTGACTGGATCAGCAGCTGATCCCAATCCTTTTCAATGTGTTGAGTTTTTTTTTTTTATTGTTTTTAATAAAAATATAATAAAAAATAAATATTGGATATGTAATAGATTTTTTTTTTAAAAAAAATTTATTTATGTGTTATTTTAACTAAAAAATGTAAAATTTAAATATGATATTTTAAAAAGATTGATGAATAATGAAAAAACAAAATTCAATAAGAGGTGTAACTCTTACATTTTTCCTTGTGTTTAGGCAGATTAACTGCCCAACAAATCACTTAATTAGATAGATGAATTAATAAACTAACTTGAAGTAATTAGAAAATTATCAAAAGATATATAATACATTATATGTTAGCACATTAGTTTAAAATAATCAGCCAATCATCACAAAACAGATAACATATATTTTATTATATAGAAATATATGTTGTGTGAGCTATATGTTAGTGCCGTAATTAATATATATTGTGTTATATATAATTATATAATATGATATGATATAATATATATATTGCATTAGCATTTGCAGTGTGAAGTAAGTGAATATATAATTGTGTTAAATCATAATTATATTTTGTTACATATAATTATATAATTTATTATTAAAATTTTTGTGTTATATATTATAATAATATGTGCTATTTTCTTTATAAATATTTACGGCAAGATTTGGAGGCATCGTAGCTTGAACTAATAACCCCACGATTATAAATTCATCTCCATACCACTAGGTCATTTCTTACGTATGGGGGTGGACTTATGATCGTGAAGTTATGGGTTCAAACATCCGACACCTCCAGGTCATCTGCCACACATGATTCGTCTAGTGTGACTTGGATATCGAGTCTAATTTGCAGGGTATTAGGTTCGACCGACAGTTTATCCAGTGACCCACTTTCGGATAGCAGTTGCGGGTTTTCACATCATAAAAAAAAAATTATTATCATACTTTGAGCACATATATGGGTGTTTTTTTTTTTTGGATTTGGTTTGGAGAATCTGATTAATATTGAAATAATATTTGATGAGATATTTTATAAAAAAAAATATATATATTCTATTCGTTTCAATTCAAAGTACCCATTTTTATTATTTTTTTGTCCCATTTAAAATATCACTTTCTTATTTTAGAAAAATTAATCATATATTAATACCAAGATATTCTTAACTTGTACTTAAATTACAAAAAATATTATTACACATACAATTTTACTATATATATAAAGTCAAAGGACAAAACTATCGAAAACTCTTACACGCTTTCTACTGACTAATAAAATACTATTATTTTTTAATTTATTATAAAACTCAAAAAGTCTCTTTGATTTGAGACGAATGAAGTATTATTATTATTTTTAAATACAAAATTCAAATAAAAAAATTATGTTAAAAGAAAAACACATCACATTACGTATACACGAATTAAACATATTTTCTAATCAATTTTTCAAAATATCTCAACGGTGGAAGGTTGTACAAGTTCATTTGTTTGCTTGTAGTAACTTTTGATCGGATTTTACAATTTCAATTTTTTTTTTTAAAATAAATCAAATTAAACGCTTATTTTTTATTTATTTTATTAATTTAAATTTATATTCAAATCATCCAATCAAACATTATTTCAAATCAAAATTTTATTATTCAAAACCAAATTTTTTATAAGTAAAAACAGATTCTAAGCACATTTTACCAAACAAAATTAATATAAATAAATATATTTTAAAGAAATTTTAAATTTATATAACATTATTGTTTATTTATTAGATATATATAAATAAAAGATTTAAAATAAGCCTTACTTAAAAATAAATAAATAAATAAATAAATAATTGAGAAAGTAACTAAAATGAAAACAAAATAATAACCATTGCAATATGGGCTAATTGGTAAAATTGATATATTTGTTTTTCCTTTTATCCAATTCTTACGAAGAAAAATGTAAAGAATATTCTCCACCTATATTTTATTCTATTTTTGTTTTTTATTTATTTTTTTGACAAAATATATTTTATATATTTGTAAAAGTTATTATTTTTATTATTTGTCCGCGTGGATTCACACTAATAAATTTATTTTAATATTATTTGAATGTGTTTAAGGTACATCCTTTTGACGGACACTTAAATATTTTCTAATGATTTTCTATGTGTCATATATATTATATACCAATAGAAAATTTTATTTAACTATTCTTATTACTATATTTTATTTTAGTAAATGATTATTATGTTGATTAGTGCTAATTGTTATTATATTAATTTGCCTTAATTAGGGTTGGGCTTTTATTTTTTCCTCCTATGTGTATAAGCTCAATTTTAGAGGCCCAATTTCTATGTTTGTTCGGAGGATTAGATTTTAAATACACTATTTATTCTATTTTTTTTTTTTTAAAATATCAAATCAAACGCCTATTTTTTTTAATTTTTTTATATTACACTAAAAATTAATTTTACATTCAAAACATCACATAACGCCTATTTATATCACATCATATAACTGTTCAAATTCAAAATTTTTACTATTCAAATCCCAACTTAAAATCCAAACTTCCAAACAAACACACTTTATTTGCCATGATTTTCAAAAAAGATTTTTCATTTGCCAAGGTTCAGAAAAATTGCGATTTAGAAGTCGCCCGTGGTCGGATTGATTTGAAATTTGAATGGTAACTTTTCAAAACGTATCTCCAAATTCTGTATGGTGGAGATCGAATTTTTTCTTTTTCGATTTAGAGAGGTTTTCCACGTAAATATCGTGTGTTTTTTATTTTCTTGCTTTATATGTTTTTTATTCCATTCAAGATTGGTGTCATAAATTCTGGGGTTTCTTTCATATATGGGAGAATTTGCTTTGTCCAATTTATTACTACATAATTTGTGTTTGTGGGCAAATTGGTTTGGGATTGTGATTTCTCTTTGTCAATTTTAAATATAATTAATAAATATAAATTAATTTATTTAAATTTATAATTTTTTACACGTAAAATTCATTCAAAATATTTTGATCTTTATTTTTTTTAATTAACAAATATTTTTATTTATATTTAAAATTCCATTTGTTTTATTAAATTAATTTATATTAATTACAACTAAATACACATATTTTTTCATTTATTTATATTATAAGATATTTTATTCTCTAAAAAGTAATATTCATATTGAATATATTTTTTACAACAATATAATTTTTAAAATATTTAAATACATATTCAAAATTTATAATTATATATATTTCTAAAATTAGTAATATTATTAATTACATAAATTTTAATAAATTAATATCATAAGAGCTCAATATTATTAATTAATTATATTAGTATTATCTTAAATACCGTATTATTAATGAAAATGGTCAATTAAGTTACGATAGATGGAGTATATATTTTATTAAAATAATTAAATATATATTATAGACAAAAAATTGTATTATTTTTATAAATACAATTTTTACTAAATATATTATAAATCGGTTCTCATTGTTTAGACATTTATTTTTTAATGTCTACATGTATATTAATTTTTTTTTAATCTTATATATTAAATTATAAATCAAATATTAATTAAATAAACTTAATCTCAATTCGACTGTACTCACTCTAAATCCATCATTAATTATAGATTGCATAATTTCCTCTCACTATATATATCTATAAATACTTGTATATAAGTAACTAATTAAATTGCCTAAACCACATTTTTTTTGAGCTCGAAAATCGATCAATAATTATATATGGGTTTTGGAATGTGGTTTTCCATTGCACTTGGGGCTTTCTACTTCTCTATTGCGATCTCTTTTGCAGAAAAAGGTAATTTCACTCTCCTATTTCAAAATTAAATAATATATATATATATTAATTTAGCTAATCTTTTACAACAACGATCAGCTCCATATTCCTTCGCAAAAGAAGCAACGACGGCGCCGGCGACCGACTTCTACGACTACATAGTCGTCGGCGGCGGAGCCGCCGGCTGCGCACTCGCCGCCACCCTCTCCGCCGCCGCAAAAGTCGTACTATTAGAGAGAGGCGGGCAGCCGTACAACAACCCACAGGTGGCCAACATAAACGCCTTCATACCGACGCTGCTGAACTTCTCGCCGGCATCGGCGGCGCAGCCCTTTTTCTCCACCGACGGCGTCTTGAACCACCGCGCCCGCATCTTAGGCGGCGGCACCGCCATCAACGCCGGGTTCTACACGCGCGCCGAACCGGAGTTTATCGAGCAGGCCGGTCTGGACCGGAACCGGTCGGCCGAGTCATACCGTTGGGTCGAAGAGAAGGTGGTGTTCCGGCCGCGGGTGCGGCAGTGGCAGGCGGCCGTCCGCGACGGTCTGCTGGAGGCCGGGGTGGCGCCGGATAGGGGATTTACGTACGACCACCT